AAAATAAAAAATATTTTAGACCAATCAGCATTCACTTGGGTAAAGTCATCCCCACTGGGTTTCACTCATTAACCAAAAAATTTGTTTCTGGAGACCAATCATTTGTTTACTTGAGTTTTGTGCTTCAAATTTTCAAAACTGCCCAACTTGTCTTTCTTATCCAGTTAGCAAAGTGGTTTAACACTTCTAATATTAAGATTTTATTTGTCAATTATATATTTTAATTAAAAAATTATTATAAATTATTTTTTTATACATCTCTTCATAAAAATTTAAAAAATTATTAAAATAACTAATTTTCAAATGAGACCTAAATATTTTTATTTGAATTTTTGAGATATTTTAATTTTATTTTCTACTATTGGTGTATGTTTTGAATGTTTTCATTCTCCAGGACAACTTCTGAACCTATAGATTATGGGGCCACATCCAGTGATTTTGGAAGAAATTTTGAGCTAGACGAGACTAAACTTAGGCGTATTGAGCCTCCGTTTGGAAAGTGGGTTGATTTTTTAATTTTTTGACTTTTTTAGCTATTTTAGCCTGAGCTAAAAAGCTTAGTTTGGGAAGGATTTTTTGACTTTTTAATTTTTTTGACTTTTTTTTGTGAAAAAAGAGTGTAATGATTATGGGTTGAATGTGATGTTTTATTTGTTGTGATTAAAATAGCCTATTTTATTTTTTATAGTTAAAATAGCCAAAAAAAACTTCGCATCTAAGTGATTTTGGGGCAAACTTTGGGCTAGGCGAGACGTAAACTTAGACAATGGCTCTTGTTCCGCATCTAGCGATTTTGGACAAACTTGGACTAGGCTAGATGTAAACTTAGACATATTGAGTTTGACTCTTCTTGTTTCGCATCCAGCGATTTTAGAGCAAACTTTGGGCTAGGTGAGACATAAACTTAGATGTATTGAGTTTGACTCTTGTTGATATCTTTTAAAGTTTATTAATATATGTAATTTGTTGGTGATTATAGACATCTGAATTCACTGTACAAGATAACCCTAATAGAGTTTTAAATATAGGACTCACTCAAGCTTACTAAAGCAGTCGCTTTCGATCCTCAATTTTAGGAAGTCTAACCTAAACTCAATGTAAAAAATATTTTAGATATTTTTCATACATATATATTGAGTTTTATGATTAAAATATAATTTTTTATCAGCTTTACTTAATAGAAATAGATACAAATCAAAACATTAAAGTTTAAATTAATAATTAAAAACTCAAAATTTATTTTGTTATAAGGTCAAATTCTATCAATTTTTTTTATGGATAAATTACAAACACATTCTTTGAGGTTTACTTAAATTGCAAATTATTCCCTGTGATTCTAGAAATTACATTATGTCCCTTAAGGTTTCTAATTTCATAATAAATAAGTTCTTTTATTAATAAATATCAAGTTAATTAACAGTTTTTAATAATGTTAAAATTTTATTTCAATTAATATTTCAGATAATTTTATTATTGTATAGGTGAATAATTAGAAATTTTACTTTTTTAATTAATTCAGTTCAATAAAAAATTTTGACAATGAGATATTTGTAATTTTTCAAACCACAGGAGACAATTCGTATTTTAAACAAATCTCAAATAATTTATTTATAATTTACCCACATAATTTATATTATCTTTTAAAATACCAATAGTTATTAATTTAGAACACCACATAGTTTCGTTACTTTTTTAGGTAAAAAAATACCACAAAATTTCTCAAGAGTGGAAGTGTGACTCCATACACATGTATAAGAGACACACATATAAATGTGTGTTTAAAAATGAGTGAAGTATCTTTATTATTAGGTATTATTTAACAACTTGAAATTTTAGTCAAAAAGTTAAAAATCATTATAAGTTGTCACCTTTTTTTTTTTATCAGAAGAAAATTTTATTACTGAAGCCAAACCGCATTTACATAGGAATCTATCCAACATATAAGTTTACACCAAGAAAAGAAAAATCATATCAAACTAGCACACAAGTATAAAAACTATGAAAATCGCAAACATACAACAAGTGCTCGCGCTCGTACTGCAAAGCAGAAGTCAAAAAATTAATTGTCCGTGTCTAAGATAGGTCATAGATTACAGCCACAGAGTGAGTAAGCCATCTAATAGCACCGATGAATTCTATATAAACACTCCCAAACCAAAAAAACAAAGAAAAACTGAAGAAAACAACCTCATACCCAGAGGCAACCAGATCTGATTTGTGAACAATGGAGGCAAACAGATCCAAAGCAGATCTGGCTGAGAGAAGGTGATGACAACGACGGCAAGCAACGGAAAAGAAGACCAAGGCAAATCCGGCACTGGTGGGAGGAGGAGCAACCTAGCTAGTTTCCACCAAGGGGAAAGAAACCCCTCACAAAGAGGGAGAGGTTGGGAAGAGAGATCTCTCAAGGTTTATTAAGCAGAAAACAATAAGGAAAAGAAAAAGGGGGAGAGAGGAAAAGGGTGGCCAGAGGCCAAAGCCCCCTCCCCCTCCCAAACGACGCCGCTTGTAGAAAACCCTAAGGAAGAGGCTAGAGAGAGATGCTCTTGTTTAGAGTCTCTTTATTTTTCTACACATCTTTTGATAAAGGGTTTAGCCTCCTTCCAGTCCGTGATTGGACTGGAGGGTGCTGTTGGGCTCATGGGGGCCCACCACGTGTCCCGTTTTGATAATTTAAATTGTTCAATGTGCAGAATTTGTCGAGTACTATATACTTGTAAAAAATCACGTCGATTGGATATTGATAGTTACGTAATCAAATCAATTTTCTATAAAAAAAAATAAACGGTGAAAAATTAAATGATTGACTGAAATCTAATCCGATAAAATAGCTATCGATATCCGATCAACATAATTTTTTACAAGCATATAGTACTCAACCAGTTTTACATATTGAACGATTCGAATGATCGAAATGGGACCTATGGTGGGCCTCCACGAGCCCAACAACACCCTTCAGTCCGATCACGAATTGGAAGGAAGCCAATCTCTTTTCTAAAAAATTACTAAAATAATATATTCTCAAACTAAGTTTAGTGTTCTTTATTTCATTAACGCTTAGACAACGGACTATGAATTTGATGAGGAAAATGGAAAGGGAAAAAAAATAAAAAGAAAAGAAGAAAGAATTGATAGAATTTGAATTTTAAATTATGTTTCGTTGAGTTGGGGACTTTAAAAAATAAAAAAAAAAAAAAAAAAAAAAGTCTCCAAAGATGCAAAGCGAGATTGCATTTCGTTTTTCCTTTTCCTTTCTCTCATCAAATCTTCCAATGAAATACAACCTTAGACAGTTAAGTCTTAATTATATTAAGAGAACTACCTAATTCCAGAGAGAGAGAGAGAGAGAGAGAGAGAGAGAGAGAGCAAAGCTTCTATGTCTAGGAGATTTCCAACAGTGCTCCAACAATACTATAATAACTCTCTTTGCACTTTCAAAATGTAGACCTATATAGAACGGAAAATGCTAGAGGTCTCTAAATCTAGAGCTCTAATTTGAGCTCTAATGATGTGTCAAAGCAAAAAAAAAAAAAAAAAAAAAGATAAAAAAAAAAAAAAAAAAAAAAAAAAGTCTCCAAAGATGAAAAGCGAGATTGCATTTCGTTTTTCCTTTTCGTTTCTCCCATCAAATCTTCCAATGAAATACAACCTTAGACAGTTAAGTCTTAATTATATTAAGAGAACTACCTAATTCCAGAGAGAGAGAGAGAGAGAGAGAGCAAAGCTTCTATGTCTATGAGATTTCCAGCAGTGCTCCAACAATACTATAATAACTCTCTTTGCACTTTCAAAATGTAGACCTATATAGAACTGCAGTTTTCGAATGTAGATTTAAACTTTTTATGTCTAAAATAGGAGTTTGAGAGTTTTCTCTCCCCGATTTCGATATAAATTTTTGAATTTTTTACACTCACAATGGTTCTGTCCTTTCTCAAGTCTTCTTCCATTCCATTATGGGTATACCTCCTCCTCAACTTTAGCTTTCGATGGTGTCCGAAGTACAGAAGTGACAGCGAAAGTAACAGAGTTGGGCAGTTGACAACGAGGACGACGTCAACCGAAACAGCAATCTTGCAAGCAAATTTTGCATTGTTTAATGCATATCTTTCTTTTCAGACCATATCTTTGAGAAGATCAATAATTTTTCTAAAATCATAACTAATTTTTTTTAACAAATTTGTTATTTTTTTGTTGTTTGTTTGATTTTCTTTTTTCTTTTTGTTGTATAAGTCTTATTTTTATACGACATTTTTAATATAAATATTTTTGATATTCTCAAAAAAAATATACATATAGATATATATTAAGAGATTTCAACTATTAACATCCTAATTAAATATAAGCATTGTGGATTAATTGTTAGTCCTGGAGGAGATGGGAGCAAGAGAGGGAAGTGAAATTTTGGCTGCCCACCGGGCTTAATTTGGATTCATTACTAGTCCTGGAGGAGATAGCAATGAGGGGAGTGAATTTTTTTGGTTTGAACCAATAAAAAAATTGCTCCTTGGCTTTACTAAAATTAGAGTCTGTATAATACATATTACCCAAGTTTGGGAGTAGGCACGATTGGGTGTGAGAGTTTCAGAAGTCCCTATCTGTTCCACCCACCTATTGCAGATTCACCTGTTCCCGTTGCTTAGCGACTCCCCTTTCCAGTCCCCATACCCCGTAGGCTATGTATTTGGTTCATGAAATTAAGAAAATATGTAGAAAGAGAAACGAAAAAACTGTGTGAAACGTAAGTGAAATATAATTATATTTCATTCACATTTTATCTGTCTTTTTTCTTTTCCTTTCCAAATATATGAACCAAATACAGCCTTAGGGGGAGTAAGCTAGATATAAAACTGTATTTCAGTTCTAAAAAACAAAACTATTATTTCTTACTTATAAGACTGACCTAATGTATTCTGCAGCCCATTTTACCTTTAATGTAAGAGCACCAATCATGTTATTAAAGGCAGCACAGACACCATCATGTGCTTTAGGATAGAATGGCCGCGCGCAAAAAACAGAGAAATAAAACATGTTATGTCTAAATTACCTCCTGAGTCGTTTTACCAGCAATCTGAAGCTCCCCCTTTTGATCGCAGGGACCTACTTTAGTCTCAATAAAATGGGGAACAATGTACAAGCAACAATTTCCTATTTGAAACCCAAACAAAATTTCATAATTTTAAATGTATCACAAGATTTCTTCTCATGTCGATGCACTGAAGAACTCTTGGCCGCTAGCCTAGGTCACACAGCCAAAGTCGAAGTTACTCTCCCATAAAGCTACAATGGAAAGAAGAAAGTTTCAATGCATAATTATTTCCAAAGTTTCAATGCATAATAATTCCCAGTGTAGATTTGTATATTATTGTCAATGAGTTTGAATTCTCATACCTTTTAAGAATCCCCAATATGTGTTACTTTTTCACTTCCGAATGGAAAGGTCGATGTGCAGGTAAGCTACACAAGCCACGAAAAAGAAGAAAAACACAGATGCCAACATCAATGGCTCAGCGAGCATGAATATTGGGTTGAAGTTGTAGTAAACCTGCAATAGAAGATATCAAGTGAACATAAATGCCACAGCCATTATGAAATATATACAAGTCATAAAAAATAAATAAGAGAGAGAGAGAGAGAGAGACAGACAGAAGGAAATACTCCAAGCTGGGTGGAGGAAACACACAAACACACCAAATAGGAACAGTTAATTAGTCTTTGTAGCCAGTGATGTCTATAGAATCAACGGTGATAGTAAATCGGTGACAATTATCCTGTTAAGCATGGCCTAACCTAAGAATTAGACCCACAAAAGGTAAAAGATAAGTAAACTCAACCTATCAAAACCATTCATAATTTTAGCAAAAGGTCAAAGAATGAAAAACCTCAATGGTCATGAATCATGATCATCACTGCAAATAATTACCAAATTAATATAATCAAGAGATGCCCTAACTTCATTGCAACAAGAAAAATATGCCACTTCGCATCTAGGGTGAATCTGATGGCAGTTCCAGTTTCTCTCCTATAATAACAGCATTACTTGGGTTCACACTATTCTCCTGTCCATGTAAATGATAGAGGCTGTATGAAAGCTAGAATAAAAGGTGGACCCAAATAAAACTTGCATTAAGGTCAAAAACTATGTGGGTGATAAAGAGCGAGTCGGTTGGTTGTGGAGCGCTTGGACATGGTGGGCATTGAGATGACAAAATCACTTAAGGTGGGCAGGGTGAGAGTTGACATGGTCTTAGGAAAAGAAAGAGAGAGTGCAGTAGCAGTGGGCCAGAGAAGTGTTGAACCAAAGTCTCCAAGTTGTCAGCGGCAAGGATTAAAACTTCGTTTCGATGTATAGTTTTGCATAGGTTATGGCATCGGCATCCATGGTGGGCCAATACTAATAGTAATTGAAACGGAGCAAGTGCTCAAACAACTTGGCTCTACTTTGGTGTTCAGCCTCATGAACTTTCTCAAGAACCTTGGGAATTTCAATGCCCACTAAACACAAGGGGATTGTTGTTGAAACCTCGGCACAAGAGCTTGGTGCACAAAGAACCAAAGCACTAAATTCTTGATCACAACATCAGCACGATTTGAAGGGAGACCTCTTTGTGAGCAGGAGTGGAACTACATAGGGGCCAAGAGGGCATAATAAACTATATTATAAAATGTAGTTATTTTAAGCCGAGTAATACCATGTAAAAAAGCTACCTTGATGTTTACAACTCCAAGTATTTTCCATAACTTCTTTTTTTTTTTTTTTTTGATAAACAAGTATTTTCCATAACTTCTTAAAGTAATCAAAGTATATTGTTCACAGATAACAGTTTACAAAATATGTCATCTATAAATGCAAGAAACAAGAGTAAACAGTATGTTCCTTATCAATGATAAAAGGTTTAAACATAACATAACAGGCTTTTACTTTATATTAGATATCTTCTTTGTTCACTAATGTCTCTTTTAACATTCATTAAAATATTCAAATAGCCAAAATGTTCAACAAATTTAAATTATTTTTTTATTCAGTAGTGATATCCATAACATGGATTGCCGTAAGCATACTTGGTGGTGTGGCTTCGAGTCACAAGAACAACCTCTCCAATAATAGGGGTAAGGCTATATATCTTGTCCTCCCCAAACCCTGCTTTAGCAGGAGCCTCATAAACTGGGTCACCCACTGATGTATCCATGACATACCCTAACATATATTTGTATATCTCAAATCACAACACATTCATTAACAAAGACATTTCAGATTATAAAAGAATAACTGTGAAACAAATTTGGCTTTCCCTAAAATCGCTTAACATGACAATGACAAGTGAGCCTTTGTTGTGTGTAATACATGTCTTCAAAAATTACTGAACAAATTCTCAACATGACCATATCAAAACTCCCAATATATATATATATGATCCCCAATTGGCTTGAAAGAACTAATGTAAAGCAAATGAGAAACTAAATCAGTATGACGGGCTGCCAAGCTTACCTGGAAAGGGGAGTCGTGATCAGGAACTACATTTTTCTTCTCCAAAACTACAACAGTCCTTCCAACGACATCAAGGTATGAATACTTGGTCTGCAGAGATCAAGATGAAAGGACATTACAGTTAACATAGTAGTATACAAATCATTGGAGGGTACAGGCATATTTATCAAAGCATTTGCTGTGACAAATAACTATTGCAACTGCATGTTGACAAAAATTGAGTACTTGGAATATTTGATCCAAAAAATATTTTAAAAAAAATTGCAAAAAACAGACAGTAAACAAATGGCATTTCCCTAATAAATCCTTTGACAGAGTAAGATGAACCAAATGCTTTGTGATAAAAGTAAAATTAGTAGCATTAGTTAGTATACACACCACACAGTTGCACACATATGGCAATTTTTACTTCAAATGTATGTGTGGATGACAAAAATGGTATAGCCTAAGAAATTACCTCCAGGTGTTGTTCCACTGGAAAAGGAACCACAGCAGAAGGGCTTTTTGATCCCTCAGGCAGCACAACCTAAAAATAACAGTTCCTGGATTAGTATATGTATGTTCCAATTCTGACACAACGACAGAGAACATAAATTGAATAAATAGATAATCAAATGGTATACATTCAAAGAACTGTACCCACTTTGATGGTCAACTTGTCTACCACTGTATCAGCAAGAGGACATCCAAAGCTGAAGTTCAGGTAACGCCTACCATCAGATGACTCAAAAAGAAAGTCTTGCAATGGCAGCCCATATCCAATGACAAAAGTCGCCTTCCAACCCCCAAATAATGGATACCGTGGCTCTATTTCCAATTCTGACTGCAGTGAAAACAAAGGAAAAGACATAAATATAGAGTTATTTTCCAACAAAACATTAAAAAAAAATTCCATTTTACTTGTCAAAAACAAAGAGAGAATTTTCCATGTTTTATTTCTTAAATGATTACTGTGTAAAATGAGATCATTTGTCCAAATGAAAAGGAACAAAGTTTCAGTAAGAGGGAAATAGAAAAATAGGAAGCCTCCTGCAGACCAGCAGCAATTCTTATCATGAAAAAGTTGCACGCTTTCGACAAAAGCAAGAAAACATATTAACATATAAGGGCCACAAAATCTAACCGGAAGAGGAAATGGCAATGAAGTGACTGATCAGATGAGGGGTTAGGGGAGAATTGTAATTCCTTAATCAAACATCTCATAATTGAGTATATTTAATGTACCAAATATGACTAAACTATGTTTAAGCTAATTTTCCGGATAAAACAAGACATGCTAAAAAGCATATTTATTCAGGACAATCGTGATTCGTGAATCAAAATTTCAAGAATTACTTTGAATCTTGTCCCTCTATCATCGAAAACATAATATAAGGAACAAGAAGTACCTTCTTAGAATCTGTACGTAAATGTGATGATGAGATATTCCCTATTTCATCTCGGTAGTACACAGAGTGAACTCTAGGGGGTAATCTTGCAAGAAGCAGCTTGAATGAAGACACACCACTAATTGACGGCCTAGATTGATATTCAACCCTGCAAAAGGGAAGGTTCAGACAATGGAAATTCAAATAATATAAGGACCAAAACCAAAGAAAGATATCCAACCATTCAGGAAGGGATATACACAAAATTTTGTACTAAATAAAAGGATAGATGCAATAAATCCATCATCGCCTTTGACATTTAGTATAACAATGGAAAAATTTTAGCACAACATTAGGAAAAAAAATAAAACTAAAATCAAGAGCAACAAAATATGGCAACTTATTCCAACATATCCAAGTATTAGATGGTTGAGGAATGAAAGTGCCACATGTAACAGGCGGTAAACACCTTGAAAAGATGCCTTTGTGACGAGCCCCTGCATGGACCAGTTTGTAATGCTCTGTAATTTGAAGGCTGCCCCAATGAGATATTTCCACTTCACGCACAAGCTCCTCAACAACAGCAAATGGATTGTTATTCTCAAAATGAATGATTATGGGAGAATATGAATATGGAGTACGGTCTTCATATGGACCATACTTTATTTCTGTACCCGCTCGGTCAGTGGATTCCACGTTTGTGAATGATTCTACCTTGGTACTTGGCGTCTTAATAAAAGTTATTTGTTGTTTAATATGATATGGTGACAATATTATTGCAGTGTCATGGTAATAGACCAATTGAGACTCTGACTGGCTTATCTCTAATGGGAAAGGCTCTAGAGAGTGCGTCAACATATAAAGCACTTCAAGTGTTACAGATTCTCCTGCACTTAACGGATTGAGCAACAAAATAGAGAAATATTTAGTTCCATTTGGTCCTTCAGGCACTTCAGCTGACTTCACATCAAGAGGCAAATAAGATTTCTTCTTCTTCTTCTTCCCAACAGGGACTGTCGCTTTGACCAGTGCTATGTGATCAACTTGTGTAGGTGGAAAAGCAAGAAGGATTTCTGAAGCTGGAGATGTCCCAGTATTTTCAACCTGAAATTATCCATCAATAAAACAAGCATGCCACAATAGGTATTTTTACAGGAAGAAACACAAGAATGGTACAAGTAATTTTGAAATTTAACCATCTAAATCTAGTTGCTAGAATTGCCTAGTAAGGGTGACATTTCCACTCTAGAATTATGATTCTGCGATTCAAAGCGAGAATCAAGTTAGAACCACGTTGTTGTCAAGATAGAATCATGGTTCTAACTGAGATGAGAACACTTAAACATAAGAATCCGGTGGGAAAAAACTATATCATAATAGAACATGTGCTAAACAATATAATGATAATTTATATACTTATATCTAGTAGTTCAAGCGTTGGACCAGAACATATCTTAGACAATGTAATGATAAATTATTATGCTTATGTACGTTTAAAAGTTTAAGTGGTAAATTGTAATATACTACAGACATTTAACATATATATTTCAACCTTGTAAAAAAAAAATATTTCTTACAATATATTTACATAAAAATACATAAATGCTCCGCCTAAGTGCTCCAACCTTAGACTCTTCTATTTGCCTTTCCTTCCAGGCCCCCCATTGCTCCTACTTAGTGCAACTAAGCCTAGAAGCTACAGTTTGAAAATTCAACAACCAGCCCCAAACAGTGAGCTGGATTCTAATTTTGACAGACAGTGCCACACCCTGAACAAGGTTAAAGTTGAATATAAATATTCAACCATTTTAAGATTTTCCCAAAAATAAAATAAAAAAACTTCAAAAAATGCTACAAAAAATATCACTACTCAATTTGTAAACCAAGATTACAATTACAACAAAAGCTAAACCCATAAATTTTCACGTACACAATTTGATCAATCATTCCCTTTTTAGATAAGGAAACAACTTTACTCATATTTGCCATAAATTCATAGAAATAGAGACCATGTATTCATCAAAATCATTCAAAGTAATGTTGGAGGAGTACCTTCAAAGTCAAGTAAACCCTAACAATGTGGGAAGACAAGTCAATCTGCATCAATTATCAACGTATTAGTATGACATTCAAGAACACCAAGCATGTGCTTTAACTTCATTGTGATAGCTAATGAACAGAAATGGACAATTCATTGAAAAGCTAATCAAATAAATACCAGCATACGGTCAATAACTTCATCATGATCAATTAATAATAGGTGTCACCAATAAAACTCAGTAAATATATAAAAATTATGTAAACTTTGTGTTTTGAGATATTATTTCAAAAATATTTTTTAGAAATTTGAAAATTTGTTTGGTTGAATATTTGAAAATAGTTTTGGAAATTTAGAGTTTCGGATGATTTAATATTTTTTTGTAGTTGAATAGATGGGTGTGAGAGAAAAAGAGATCAAGAAGGAGAGAGGAGAGAGAAAAGTGATTGATTGATGTACAGTAGAGAGAAAATTGACTTCGGAATTTTTTTAAAAAATTTTCAACCAAACCTTTTTTTTGGAATTAGAGACAAAACCAAACATGCCAATTATGTTTCGATATATATGAAAGAAAAGAAGAAAAAAAATGATTGTAATTTCTCTCCCTCATGTTTGGTTAAGTTGGGAAGAAAAGAAAAGAAAAGAAAATACAGTGACTTCTCTCCAATCTTGTTTGGATAGATTAATAAAAGAAAAGAAATGAAACTCTTACATGTTATTTAATCAAAATAACCTTTTTCACATTTTTATTCATTTTGTAGGTAGATAGGCAATTTTGGTAAAACACAAAACTAGTAATCTTCCCATTTCTTTTCTCTCCCAATCTCTGAGAGATTCAAAAAGTGAGTTATTAGAGAAATACTTCTCTCCATTTATCCTCATTTCTCAGTAATCCAAACAAGTGATTTGGACCAAGACATATTGATTTCTTTTCTTTTCTCCAAATCACTCGATCCAAACGAGGTGTAAGGGCCTGCATGGTTGTCCCAAATTGAATCGTTCTTATAATTAACTTGTAACTCAAATATTTATTTAATTTATTTTCTCTGTAAAACTTTAAATTTGTCAATTTCTTTTAGAATATAAAGTTTCCTAACCTAAAATTTACAGCAAAATTTTCTATTGACTAATTAATAAATTCATATATTTGAATTAATTGATTCAAAACGAAACAAAACAAACAATATGAGAATTCTGAATAATATGAGATAAAATTATCCAATTTCTTCAAATTTTCCTCCACTTTCTTGGCAACCAAAAGAACCCAGAAGACTATAATTCTCAAACAAATCAAAATTCCATCAAACAATCTAAAAGATCAAAAACCTCGATTCATGATTTCTAGCTCGAATTGTTGATAAGAGACGACAATGGTGAATCAGAAAGCTTACTCTGCGTTCGGCGTTGACAATCTGAAGCTCCGATGATGAGAGAGAAGACGACCTGGCGAGTAGAGAGAGGTGGACGAAGATGGAGAAAACTAGGGCTAGTCGTAGTGTCTGCAGAGCTTCCATGGTCGAGTCTACTCTCACCAGATTTACAAGTCAAGTCGGTTATATACACATCTTTTTCCGTCAGTTTTATTAACGGACGGTTAATAGAGGGTGTTGTTGCTATTAAGATATAAACTAGGATTGTTACAGTAATTTCAGAAACTTATGGGTCTGTCTATAATTTCTTTTAAAACAGATGGCTAATAAAAAAGACTATTGGCCTCGTTTGGCAAGTGGTTATTTTAGCCAAAAAGCTAAAAAGTCACTAAAAAAATCAAAAAGTCAACAATTCATACCAAAAAGTCAAAAATTCTCTTTTCTCTCTACTTTTTGCACATCTTTTTGTAAAAAGTTAAAAAGTCATTCCAAACATACTAATTTTTTTTATATCATATTTTAGCCAAAAATTAAAAAGTTGCTAAAAAAATATGTTCCCAAACGAGGCCTAAATGTCCCTACCTTTCTACTTCGCGCTCCCCTACTTCTTTGGCCCCTCACCATCAAAATTGTTTCCATCTTTATTTTTTTTTGAACCCCTACCATTATCCCAAATATACCCTTTGAAACCCCACTCACCCATATATCTTCCACCTACAACTTAACTTTCTGTCCTCTGGTAGTTAGAGTCCCATTTTCACCCCAACGACCCTTTCCCTCCATCGACACTCCTTTAACGCCCCATATTCCTCCTTTCAATCTCCACTATCGAACTTTTGGGACCTCTTTTACATTCTGGTTAACATCCTAACTCCTCATTTTGCTTTCGCGACTACTCTCGCCACCATTTGGAAAACAAATTTTGAGCAAAAGCCGGATGTTCAATAGTATGTAGCCAAACAAAAGGCATATGTTCGGTTGTGAAGCACCGAACATATTAAAAAAGTTCGATTCTATATAACTGAATGAAGAGAAATCGATCAAACTATAAGGTAGAGAAAAAGAGTCGGGCACGAAAGAGAGAAAAATAGTAGGTTTCGGAGGATAATGATGAAGATTGCGAAAAAGAGTTGATTTGGTTTTGGATCTAAGTTGCTGGTGATGATGAATATCACGATGGTTGAAGTCATGGATAGTGGGTGTCATAACCATGAGAAGTGGAAGTGGTGGTTTTAGAGGCTATCGGTGGAAGTGGAAGTAGTGATGGGTTAGTTGTCGAATAGTGGGTTGGTCGCCAAAGGATGTCAGCAAGAGTGAAAGTAGTGATGAGATTAGGGTTAGGGTTAGACTTTAAAGAATAGAAATGGAGATAAAATTGCAGATGTCATATCTGTCACTAGAAAGGATGATACATGGCTTAGGGGATCATAAAGAAAGATGAGGTACTTTTTTATTGACTTCAATGTTAGCTAAAACATCAGGGCTTTGTTTAGCTTCTCTTACTTGAATAGCTATTTCCGATGATCCACCATGTCACAGTGAAAACAAAAGAAGTAAATATATTCATATTCAATATTGTAGCAATTCTTACCTAAAATAAAGCAAGGGCATAGCGACTTGGGTAGATCAACTTCTATGCAAATCCTTGCAAATTTTCCTCTTGTGGCCATAGCTATTGTAAGATCAATCTTTAAAGGTTTGCCATTTTGTTTGACAATGGCATATAAGACTTTTTCCTGGAAGTATTCTATTGGAAGTTCTGGAAACTGCACCCAAATTGCAATTGTGGTTTCAAAACCTCCCGATGCCTTGAAATCAGGCTCCCATTTGCGTGCTGTTAGGTAATGATCCATTATAACCCATGGATCTCCAAAGTAGACCTTTGTGCAGTCTTCTTGAGGAGAAAATTTAAATAGGAAATAGTTATTGCCTAGGTTGATAGCATTGAAATCATCTTGAAGGCCCCAGAGATTCCTGACTCTTGTGCATAACATTTTATACCCTATACTTTTGCCCAATAATCTGACGATAAGGGTAGTTGGTCATGGTTGTCGAATTTGTTGCAGTAGTTTCTTCGACAACTAGATCCTTGGGATACCATTCTAATCTGGGATAGGGATCTTTCTCTTAGATGTTGGTATCTCCCTCCTCATCATCTTCCTTAGCTGAAATTTTATCCATTGCATCATCAAAGTAAAAATCTTTGCTCTTAGTTACAACTATGGCTTCTTTGAAGGATTTGGCTTTTGGGCCTTCAATGTGCATAGATGTTTGTGGCGTTTCAACTAGTGTTGAGGAAGACTGTTGGACTTCAAACACAGTAGGAATTTCTAAACTGGTGTCCGTGTGTTTTTCCTCCATACTTTCTTTACTCTTTAATCTTTTTTGTGTTGCGAATTTGTCACGACCCAAACCCGCCCCTATGGCTTTAGCACCGTAACCGGCCAGTAATCTGAGATTACCGAAGGCCTGCTTAACAGTAATACAATAATACAAAGTACAGGGGCATGGCGGAAGCCAAAACAGTAAATAAACGATGTCCAATGAGCTGTGACAGTCTGTATGCAAAAAGACTTTTCATACATATATACAATCAGTGCAAAACAGTATGTACAACATTTACAATTGCTCAGGACAGGGACTTAATCCCTATTAAACAGTACAGTAACAGTCTAAATAGTTATCCAAAACAGGTACAGAGACAGATGGGAGAAATTAAAACACCCCTAAGCCATAGCTTGGCAGGCTCGGAACCTCGCAGTAACGCACAGTGGTTGGCTTGACAAAACTGGAGTTTACCTTGACGCTTCTAGCAACGATTCGGTGCCTGTACACCTACATATATATATATGAGCAGTGAGCTAAAACCCAGTGAATAACATAATGCGTAAAGGGGTTAAGAATGAATGTCCTTGCAGTAATGAAAACAGTTCATTAAATCAGTGTTTCAGTCATTTAGTCACAACAGTCATATGTGGTACATCCATTAACATAGCAGTACGGTAAACAGTAGGTCTTAAAAGACCGAACAGTCAATGATGGCCATCATATCAGTAAACAGAAGTTCCAAGATAGGAACTGACAGAGATCTCTGTAACAGTAACAATAACAGTAACAGTAACAGAAACAGTAGTTACTAAGGATGCCACAATACAGTTCAGAATAGAGGACATACATTCATTCAGTTAACAGTACAGTTTAACAATTCAGAAGATATTCGTATTTGAACATATCTTTATACAGTTGTTACTCACAGAGTTCTGGGCTACAGATAAGTTAGAGCACGTCCTCAGATGCCAACCCTACACAGTTACAGATTGAACACATACTAAGCTACACAGTTGGGAAAATAATAACTTAATCTCTAACTGGACTCAGTGTGGTCCTACATCAATATCCTCACTAAGATGCTTAAACTAGGCCTAAGAATGCCTAGGATGGGATGAGGATGCAAAGATGCACTTTAAAAGCATTTTCAGAATTTTCAGAAAACAGGGTTCACGCTCGAGCGTAGGTTACTCCGCTCAAGCAGACATGTAGACAAAGGTTTCCGCTCGAGCGTAGACTTACCCGCTCGAGTGTACTACAAAACAGTCAATAGTGCTGGATAGGTGAAATTCACGCTCGATTGGGCGCTCGACACCCGCTCGAGCGTAAGACACAATGTCCCGCTTGAGCGTAAATTACCCTGCTCGAGCGGACTGCAAAACACAACAAAATGCTGGGAGCACGATTTTCACGCTCGAGCGCCATTCACCCCGCTCAAGCGTGAGTTCAAAATCTAGAATTTCCATATTTCAAGCTCAAAATCAAGTTTCAATGTGCCAAATTCGATTCCTTTGGGCCCATTTCCTGGAAAACACTTGTAAATACATAGTATGACATGATTCAAAGCTCAATTTGTAAAATCAAGGCCCAAAGGTGAGGGAATTAAACCCAATTTCAACAACACTTCAAGAACATAATGAATGTGTAACATGCATGAATTCAACAACTTCAAAGCTTCGAAAGCTAGTTCAATTGAGCCAATTCTTTCCAAAACATGATGAAATCATGAACTATACCAATAATATGAACATGCATGTACCAAATTCCATGTAGTGAACCTCAAAATGCTAAGATATAAGCATGTATGCATGGAATGAGCTTCAATTCAACATATAAGGACCAATTCTAGGCTTAAATCACTAGAGGCTCAATAACCATGCAAGAATCAACTTAAATACACAATCAAGAAGGTAATTACTCTACCTTAAGTCTTGTATTCAAGGTCTAGGAGCTCAATTTGCAATCTATACTTCAATTCTTCAAGTTCTTCAAGCCAATTCACAAAATCAAGTTGAAATCACTCATATTCTCTCACTCTCTCACTCTAGTTGGTTGTGGCCTCTAAAATGGTTGAGGAAGAAATGTTATGTGATCAGGTGCAAGGCTCAAATGTGTTAGGTAGTGGACCACTAGTATGGCAATAGGGTAAATAGGGCAACTTATGTAATTTAGCTCATTTTAATCTAATTTAATCATACCGAATCACAATTCAGATAAATATGCCATAAAATCACGTAAATTCTAATGATCATAAAACACTAATCAATTTCAGATTCGGCCGCCGATTAGACCTTCAATTCGTAATTTCAACATAAAGCATGAACAGATAGAAATGCACTTAAACAGATACAGTCAATCAATCAGTTTAGGATTTCAGTCAATTCAGTCAATTATCATGATCAGTCTCAGTTTAGCAGTAATCAGTAGTTTATTCGGTAAACAGTGGTAAGGGTTATTACAGAATTAGATGGTATTTTTCTTTTAGGGACTTCCTGCTTGGATTAGTATTACTGGTTGTTGGTCCCATCATTCTAGAGAAAGAAAAAAAAAAATGTCTAGAGAGAGAAAAAGCACAAGTGATTACTAGTCTATTGACAAAACATTCCCCTATTGGTAGTACTAGTAGCAACCCTCTTAATAAAAGGATGTTGCTGCTATTGTGATATAAAGTATGTGTGTTACAATATTTTTGGAAACTTATGGGCCTATTTGTAATTTTAGAAACACAAATTTGATTGTAATTAATCTAATAATAAAAATTTCAAATTTAAGATAACTCACAAAAAAAATCCTATAATTTGACTTTTATAGCAAAATAAATTTCGAGTTTTAAATTTTATTAAATTAAACTTTAATTAAAATATTTAAAAAAAAAATGCCACATCCCCCCATTTTATCAACCCAAATTGCACCTCTAATAAAGTGATAAACAATACCAACCAAACAACTTCTTCAAACTCTTTTCTATCATTTCAAAATGGGTTTCGCTACAGACCTTGAGAGATAAAGGTGTGAATGGCTCGAATTGAGCTGGCAGTCCATTTTTGCACAAAACCTTGTGTACATTTCACGCACCTTAAAGACTAAAGAGAAAACAAATCAGCGTATCTAGGAGATAGAGAAAGAGACGACCACAACCTAGAGGGCTTGACCCTAACGACGATGACGACGACCTAAGTGGCCACCGATGACGAAGAAGACCACCGCTAACCATCAACCACAATCTACCAGTCTCCAATTTCTCCAGTTTCTCTAAAAATTTTGGCCTCTACCCACCAATAAGCAACTGATTCGTGGGTCACTATTGAGGTATTGCTTCAAATATATTCTTTGTTTTACATTGGTTGAAATTTTCTTGGTCCATGATTTTGCTCATGTTTGCTTCATATCACCAGGCCTTTTAATTTGTTTCAAACATGATTTTGGTGTTTTTGTATTGATGCATTCTATGTGTTTGTTAAAAGTCCACACAGAAAGATTTTGTTTGGTTATTGATACATACTTTCTAAATTGATGCATTGATGCATTCTGTGGGTTTTAGGCCATTTTCTGAGTGAACATTTTCTTCTTCTTTCGGGACGTATATGATTTGTGGAAGCTCCAATCAGTTTTATTCATCTGAAAATATTCTATCACTTGTTCTTTTTATTTTTGTGAATATTTTGAATGTTTTCTCTGTTGCTGTTATTGTTAATTTGCCATTGGCCCTTTATGCATGATGCTGCTATTAATGTCTAACAAATGCTTATTTAATGCTTTGTTTCCATCATCTTGCAATAATTAGATATATTCTCATTACTCACTGCTGCTAATAGGGATGTGCAAAATACCGTCCAATCCGCTAAAACCGCACCGATCCGCATTTATCTGCACTGCTCTAACCTCTAACCGCGGTTTAAACTTTAAAATTTATAATCCGTCAACCGAACCGCTCCACTCCGCTATAGTTAATACATATATATTTTTTAACCTCCAATGAAATATCAATGTAAAAATGAGTGTGAGAAAGATTTAAGATATGAAATTTATTATAAATTAGTGGCTATATATATGAAACATATTATGTAAAATTACTGTGTTATATATCTAAAAAATATTATACAAATTAGTGTTATATATTATACAAATGTATGATAATTAGTTAGAATATTCTTCAATATGCCAATCCGCCAAAAACCGCCCAAACCGCAATTTGCCAATCCACTAATCCGCCAACCCGCCATTCGGTTTGTAAATTTACTCTCAAACCGCCCGACCCGTACCGCGCACACCCCTAGCTGCTAATGTGAATCGTGTTAGAAATGGGTTTTGAAAGTTTGGAAAAACAAAATTTTTCCTCAACTTTGGTCTAATTTTTAGGTAGGATCCATGCGCCAAAGTTGGCCGGTCTAAGTGGTAACGCATTCTATGTCGCATTGTGATTCACGTAGTATATTTGGTTGCTCAAAACCATTATCGGGTGAATAAGAAATTGAAGCCAAAGTGAGCTCTATGGAAATGGAATTTTTGGTGGAAATTTCTTAAGGATTGGTTTAAGGCTTGTTCCACATTGATTTGACGGGCAAACTTTGAGTGGGTTTATAAAGCTTGAGTTTGGAACTTGGGGTAGGCCCCAAGGAGCACCCAAGTTCTGTAGAGAGAGAGGTTATGGACAAAGTGGGCTAGA